GAGAGGTGTGGAAATTTCGAGAGTGTGAAACCACAGCCGTTTCGCCATTTAGCAATAATCACGAACATTTCTAGTCCTACTTCTCCAAATAGTTCAGTAGCTTAAACCTTAATATTATCATTTTTCAATATTAATTTCTGAAGTAAAAATACGTCCAAAAAAGTAAAAAATGTTATAAGGTTCAAAAGAAAAGTTGGAAATACTTTATGTACTTTAAATATAAGTACTAAACATACTAAACATTTACAATTACTAAACATGTTTAAACTTTTCAACTTTTCATTTGTTGGTACGTTTAAGGAAAAACAACCTTGTGACACTTCTTAAGAAGACAAATTTTCAGCATTTCATTAATAAGTGATTTTTGTTTATCAATAGCAAAATTTGTATTGTTAATTTTTTTGTTTCCCGATTATACAGTAACTAATTTTAATCACGAATAGATAATCCACCTTTTCAAAAATACTGAAGTACTGAAAATTTAAGGTTCGCCACGGTTGTTTTCAAACTTTTTCGGGCGAAAGTAAGCACGGTACACCAGATTTTCGCCCAAAACCCTGCACATCGTACGTCTACTCCGGTGTGAAATGCGAAGGCGGCAGCCTGTTCTGTGATCAGCCGTGACAGCCGCTCCCCCTCACCCTCGTCCTCGTCCCCGTCCTCAATCGTGGCAAAGCACGGAGGGCGCGGAAAGGCCGTGAAGAATTGGGTGACGGCGTAGGGGTAATTAGCGCTGGGAGGGCACGGAACGACACAGACAAAGACAAGCAAGGGAAGGGACAATGGATTGGTGCAAGCGGTGAGAGTGACGGGGGGGTGATGCGCTGTAGCAATAGTTAGGGTCAGAAGGCTGAACATTGGCAGGGGTTGAACTTGTGGTAGAGCGATGGCGGGGGTGAAGGCGAGAGAAAGAGGGGCAGGGCGCAGGTCGCGTTAGAATAGACTGCGGGGTTGAGTCTGGTTTTTATGAAGAGGATTTGCGCATGCTTGTGTGCTTGGTTGAGCGGGTTGGGTATCAAAAGAATAAAGGGGCGGGAATAGGCGTCTGTGTAAGTAGCGAAGAAAATGGAGGTTATCGTTGGGGGTTAGCAGTGAGGTAGGGTGAAGGCGAGGACGGGGTGGAAGTGCTCCTATAGGGAGAATGTATTCAGGTTAGAAGGAATCTAGCTCTGTTCTGGTAGCTGACAGGTGGAGAAGAGTTGCGGTGGTATAGAGAAAGATAGGGGGCAAGAGATGTTGAATTAGTGTTAGGATGGAACGGAGGGCTATCATGGAGCTGGTGGCGAGAGCTGATTAGTAGAGAAAATATGGTGGTTGATGCGCATAAAAGAGGGAGGGAGGAAGGGGATGTGTTGGGGGCGGTGTTAAGAAATTTGACGAATAAACCCTTGTCGTCCGGATAGAGTATTATTAGGGTGCGGGGTAGAGGATGGGAAAGAATTGGTGGTGAGGAAATTAATACTCCGAGGGCAAGTGCAACACAGAGATAATATAATGTACTTCGGTCAAATTTGAAATTGTAATCTCAAAATGGTACGCGAAGAAGATGTTCTGAATCCGGCTGAGGTAAAGAACATTCATAGTAAGCGGTGGTTAATGGTGAGACATTGGGGGTGACATTGGTACTGGAGAGGGGGGGAATAGGTCGAATTATGGGGGGCGGGTTCGAGTTCGGGGGGTGCTGGGCGTTGTATGGCGTGGTAGACGGTACAGCGGTAGGCAAGCGGGGCGCGGTGTGGCGACGGGGGGGTTAGAAGGAGGTGCCGGAGGGCGTGTAAACAGCGAGACCAAGAACAAATTAAAGGCTTGTTCCGCGCGGGAAATATTTGTGCGCGTCGTCCGGCGCTTCTTAATGGGAATTGCGGGGAGGTTCTGTTTGCAGCGCTGCGGCTCGCCTCGCGCCGCCTCCGCGCGCCGGCTTGTTGCCGACGTGCTCGCCCGTCCGGCCTTGGGCTGGAACCGCACAAAAGAAACGCGCTGCTGGGTCTACTGGGTCCGGGAAGAGGCGACTGCCCGAGGCAGCGGGTGGCTGTGAGCGTGCATGCCGGGCGGAGTGGGGCGGGGACACGGACGAAAGGCCGTGGGTCGAGAAGGGCCTTAGGGTGCAATGCCGGAGCACGTTCCTAACAAACGAACCACAGAACCGGCGCTCAGTTTCCCTTCTCTTGGCACTGTATCCTCTGCCGTTACTTTTCACACTTGTACTTCACCAACACCCGACATATCGATACGATTCATCGGAGTATAGGGCTAATTTCAGCCGACGGGGGAACAAACGCAGTGGGAGTGCGGTGGCGACCTGAGCTAACTGAACTGCGTATTGACGAGTCGTGCCGACTATGAGTGTAGTGAGGAAAGGAAGAACGGATTCATCAGTTGATTCTTCGGAAGCGCCCACTGCTCACCGTCACGTGACTCGCCGCGGGTCAATCACCCATCCCGCCTCACCGCCTCGCATAACCGCTTGCCTCACCACCCACTTCGTCTACCTGCGTGGTTGCCATTACTCCCCGTCCCAACTCCGTCGCCCGTCCGCGCAGGAGCTCCGCCGGACAAGCTTCAGCGCCCTATTCCCCTCGCTAACACTCGCCTACTCCAACTTCGAAGATGGCGTCTCTTTGGCTGCTCGTACCTACTTCCCGTCCACGCCTCGCGGGGGCGCGAGGTGGCGTTGGCGAGGCGAGGCCGGGTGGCGAGGCGGGGGTGGTGAGGCGAGGGCGACGAGGTGGCGAGCTGCCCGAGGTGGCGAGCGAGGCGAGGGGTGGTGAAGGCGAGGGTTGTAGGCGAGGGCGAGGTGGTGGGATGCGAGGTGGCGAGCGAAGGTGGCGGAGGCGAGGTGGGCGAGGCGAGGTGGCGAGGGCGAGGTGGCGACGGCGAGGTGGCGAAGGCGGGACGGAGTGGCGGGAGGAGTGGCGGGGACGGAGTGGCGGGACGGAGTGGCGGACGGAGTGGCGGGACGGAGTGGCGGACGGAGTGGCGGACCGGAGTGGCGGGGAGGGCAGTGGCGGGACGGGTGGCGGGACGGAGTGGCGGGACGGAGTGGCGGGACGGGATTGGGCGGGACGGAGTGGCGGGACGGAAAAAGTGGCGGGGACGAGTGGCGGGAAACGGTCAGCAGGTTAGTGACGAGGGTGGGGGAGACAACGAGGGTAAGATGACGGCGCATGTGGCGAGCGCTGGGTTGGAGTTGGACACGCTGAGGCAGCCTGCCACGGCGAGCGGGAGGGAGGCGTTTTTGAGAAGCGTGTGGTCGGCAGAGCCCACCTGACCGCCAACGGGGCTTTGTTGC